AACTTGTTGATCCTCCTCAGGATCCTGTAGCGCTGCACTCCCTTAACCCAGATACACTGGATCAGGTCCTGTGGCGCCCAGTATGCCAACACCAAAATATCTCGCCACAGTGGCTGGTAGCCGCTGATGCTAAAAATAGCCCCAGATGGGGTTATTTCTTCTGGAGATTGATATATACAGTCAATCTCCTCCAGCGCTACGCAGGGATGATGCCGCTCAGGGTTCCCTGATGTCCTCAGGGTTAATTCGCCACTCTGGGGTACTTCGCAATACTACTCCCAGGGTTGGCTATGGCGAAATAGCCCTGTACTCCCACTTCTTGACAAGCGCCCTGACAGGCTCAGTGCACTTGCTCAGTACACACACTGAACACCTGAATCCACCGCTGAAAGTCTTCTTCCCTGCTGCCTCAGTACTGGGGAAGATGAATCGCCATGAAGGTCTCATCAGTATGTCGCCAGTTGAAGAAGATGCCCCAGTGCGCTCAACCCTCAGTGTTCCAATTCCAATCTTGCACTGATACCAACTGTTATGATCTTGGTTGTCTGACGAAGTTTTCCCCCACCACAGCCTCAGCCAGTGCCAAGGGGAAGGATAAGGGACGTCGGCCTTCCTCTTCCCAGCGCCCTAACCTGCCCAAAGACGTCCGCATGCCAGCTGACCCTCTCAATCCCTCCACACTCCCCTGGCGTGACCTCAAGATCCAGGAGGGAATCTGGAGAGGAAGGAAGGAGCGAGGGGTCTGCCTGAGATGTGAGGGACAACATTTCCTAAGGGGCTGCCCTTACATGCCAGACCCAGGTCAGTCAAAAAACTGAAACAGACCCTGGGGACTGCAGTTCCCCCCAATGCTGCACCTTCAGCTACTCAGGTAGGTGAATCTGCAGCTGTTTCAGTTGAGGCTGTATGTGACAATGTTTGTTTGGGGGCTGCGCGGGCAGCATCCTTTTATGAGGATCCTGACCCGGATCAGGGACTAGAGGAGCATGAGGCTCAGATGATTTCTCCCTTTCCTTCAGCTGAAGGGACAAGAGGGAAACCAAATATGAACTCACCCTACCCTATCCCTGATCCATGAGAGAGGTGGAAACCACAATTCCTTCCTCCTGTGCTGATTCACATCCTGAATCTTCACTATCTTTCATTCTTGTGGGAGTTTTAGTTGTCAGTATTTGCAGGTGCAAATTCTGGCGTCACTCAATGTCCTAATCAGGGTTAGCTGCTAGTTATCAATCTTTCCCTTTTCCCGACATTGTGTGGCGAGTGTTATTGTCCCAGGCCTTCAACATCCTGCCCGGGCTCCTTATCTGTTCGATAAGTTGAGCACCAACACATCTATTGTTGCCAACCTGGATGATAATTAGTCATATGTCACGTGGTGAGATTGCTTGTTCTACTCGTAATCTCTTATTGCAGTCCTTCAGTTCTACTGACCGACTTGCATCTGGTTTATGTCTACTAAGGGGTACACACCCGGTCCGACGACTATAACCAGCAATTTCGAGTTTCCCTTCTACTGGCATCACAGTTTACTGTGGAGGTCATGAGCATAGGAACTGTATTGCAGCAATAGGGTGTCGTTCGCGGATCTCAACTTTTCAGAAGTGGTCGATTGCGTAATAGTCAAAACCAGGTTATCCGTGGTTCTTGATGCAATCGAGACCAACTGACACTTTGAGATTGCCTCCTCCTGACCTTGCTGTTACAGCATAGATCAGGGGCATAGGTTACCCCGTGAGTATCTCAGGTTTTCCTCTTCGGGCAGGAGTGTTATCTCCATAACCCCCTTCATCTGCTGGATCATTACCAGAAAGTGAAGTATGGGCGTGGAGGTCCGCTCTCCCCGGGGGGGTAAGTATGTAATGAAACCTGCAGATTCTTAGTGGACTATACAGTAGGCCGAGGGTGACGCGTGGGCGCCTCGGTTGGGTCCTAGTTTAGGTTAGATTCGTAATTTCGTTTGACTGACGGCTAACTGAGAGACCTACCTGTAAGGAAATTCGTGAGGGACATATCTGCAAATCTGGGAAAAATATCGGCCCTGTACTAACTCGAATTCCTACAGCTACCCTAACTGCGTATAGCAGGCCCGGGCTACCCCTAGGACAGATAGGCCCTAAGTGGCCTATGCTGATAGACGGTCCTATAGCCTATAGCCGGGTCCGGTAGAGGCCGAAAGGCCAAAACAGAAACGGTACCGGTTGGTCAGTCAGTCCGGTCTAGGTCTAGTGTAGTCGATAGATAGGTTAGGCCCATTGGTTCAAGACTTTTGGCAGTTCATTTCTCGTGAAGCAGCGTTGGAGAAGCCAAGCAAGTTGGTGGCGGTGACTGTCTGCAGGCGGCATCCTGAGACCTCGCCGTTGACAGCAGCCATAGTCGGCCCAGTCTGAGTCTGCCATAGCTGGGGCATCCTCAGCGCATCTACCCCTGAGGGTATCTGCGTCTGGTCGGGCTACATCGAGGCTCTACACTGTGTACTCGTGGGTGGGGGCAGCCATAGCTGCCTGTTCCTTCGTCAGAGTTGTCCATCGGCACTGAAGACTTCATCGCAGGACCTGTTCTTCATTAGGGTGGTTGGCGCTGGCCTCTGGGAGGCCATTGTGATGTGGCGCTACTAACTGGGTGTAGGATAGAGAGTGGGGTGTGAGTTTTGAGAGTGGCGAGATACTGGAACAAACTCTGGTACGACAATTGTTTGAGTTGGCTCATCATCAGTGYAATTTCAATTGTTATCCTCGCAGGTTCTAGTTGTGATTGGTTGTTGGGAGTTTGTCAGAGAGAGAGAAACACGGTGTGTCTTCTTCCCATCTGTGCATAGCTGTATTTCGCTGCCTACTTTGATCTGTGTGCAGTGTGGACTCTGTCTCCTCTCCCCCTTCTCTTATGCATGTATGGGCGTGTATGAGATTGTCTGTGTGTGAGTGGCGGTAAAAATCGTCAGACAACCAAGATCATAACATGGGTGTGAAATGACGAGAGACCATGAGACTGGAAGCTCAGTCCGGCGGCCCTATCCTGGCTCTCCGGGGCACGCATGGCGTGTGTCTGGGTAGCGAGAGGATACCTGGCCACTATGCTAGCTCCGGGTGGGGTAATGCAGGCATGAGCCGCTGTACTGCACCCCCAGCTCCCCCTGCATAGCATCTAGGGTGACAGGGGAATGGGGCGGTGCTTGCCGCTGTTCTTCTACCTCGACTATTGTTCCATGCTTGCCAGTGATAAGCAACCGGACTGCAGCCCCACAGAATGGATGGGGCATTGTGTTTGGGGAAAACAAAAGAAAAAGAAAAGAAGTTGAAGATTAGGGAGCCAAGTTTCGTGAAGACTGAAAAACTAGTTGGTCGGATCTAGGCTCAGTTTTGAAGGCCCCTTTTTTCCATGGTTTTCTGACTTTCTTTCTGACTTTCTTTCTCACCTTTGATTAGTCCAGTGGAGTCCGGATGATAAAGAGTTTTTTGCTTGATCCTAGTATTCCACCTTTCTTTTCCTTTTCTGATGAGGACACATGAGATTCATGCTTTCTTGGCCACATCCTAGAGCCCATGATAACACTGCGTCAATAGAGCGTGCACGGCCATCAACACACTTCCATGTGCACAAAAAAACACTCTTTCATGTTTTGTGTGTGTGTGTGTGTGTGTGTGTGCGTGCGTGTGCGCGCGCGCGTGTGTGTGTGTGTGTGTGTGTGTGTGTGTGTGTGTGTGTGTGTGTGTG